GGTTGGGGCACCACTACTGTCACACTCAGGGCAGGGCCGATGGGGAGGTTATGGCTCTACCCTGTCACACACAGAGCAGGGCCCGTGGAGGGGGGGTTGGGGCGCCGCCCTCTATCACCCACAGAGCAGGGCCGATCAGGGTGTTGGGGTGCTGCTCCCTGTCACACACAGAGCAGGGCCGATCAAGGGGTTAGGGTGCTGCACCCTGTCACACACAGAGCCGCAGGGCGATCAGGGGGTTGGGGAGCTCCCCCCTATCAGCCACAGAGCAGGGCTGATCAGGGGGTTGGGGCACCTTCCCCTGTCACGAACAGAGCAGGGCGGATAGGGAGGTTGTGGCCCCGCCCCCTGTCACACACAGAGCCGCAGGGTGATCAGGGGGTTTGGTCGCTGCCCCCTGTCACGCTGATCCCAGTGCCAGGAAGCCTCGCGGCTCCACTGATCCTGGTGCCGGGAGGCATATTACCCTTTTACTATATAGGATAGAAGCCTGGTGCATGGGTGGGGGCTGGCTGGTTTGCCCTGAAGGGTGTCCTGGATCAGGGTGGGGGTCCCTACTGGGGTGCCTGGCCAGTCTGGCTGAGGGGCTGAGGGCCATTTTCAGGCTGGCGGGTGACTGAAGCTCCCAACTGCTCCTTTTTTTCTTTTTTATTCTGGGCCAGCTTTAGCTCTGAGGCCTTGGCTGCTGAAAGCAGGTTTCTGGCCTTTGTTTACCTTCTGTATTTGATACAGTGTTGCAGTCCGGCTGTCTGAAGCCTGGCTGACTAAAGCTGGTTTCTGGGGTTTTGTTTAGCTTCTATATTTGCAACATAGTTGCTTAGAGTTGCTGCTGAGAGGCGGCAAGTCAGGCGAGGAACGTTGGAGTCCGCCGTCACTGGAGCAAGCAAGCCTCCCTTTCGCTTCAGTGCATGGCTGCCGGCCACCATCTTGTCTGGCAGTTAATTTTCATATCGCCCTGATTAGCCAATGGGAAGGGTAGCGGATGTATGGCTAATTACCATGTTTCTCTTTTATTAGATAGGATCTATTTTTGTCTGTGCTTAAAATTATTCATTATAAAATTTTTGTTTCAATTTTAATGAAGGAAAAACAAGTGTCCTGAAGGTATGAATCATACACAGTCTTGCAGGTGTGATGTACAGAGGACATAGCCAGCTTTCAAGACTCGGGCCTCCTCTGCTCATGCTGTCTCGCCTGTCTGGCTTTCTTAGCTCCTCTCCAAAAGGGTGGGAGGGTGTGGCAGCTGTTTCACTGCAGGAAGCAGACATGGTGCCCAGCTTTTTGAAGGCATGGCTCAGTGTGGCACTTTGGAAATTTCATCTTAAAGATAGTGTGAGACTTTCCTATATCCTGTAAATTTTGGGTATCTGCCCCACCATTATGCTGTGCTATGCATAAGCAGTGGCAATATTTTCCAGATAGAAGCTGACACACATTAAAACCTAATTGTATAGGGAAAGGTGCATTAGATAAAATTATAAAGCATCTAAAATGTAGTGTTTGTTCTATGCCAAATAACATTCTAAGCAAGAATCTTGATTTCATCTGTTGAGAATTTAGCCATGCAAAATGCCATTTTCATACACTCATAGCATCTATGAAATTTAAAAATATTTTAAGAAATCTTTATTGTTTTAATATCTTCACAAAAATTCTAGTGTCAGTGAGCACTGCCATTGTAGTGCCGATTCCCAGGAGGAACCCCTGTCTGCTGGCATGGTTTATGGGAACGAAAGTGGTACCCGACTCATGAATGCATGAAAAAGGCTAGAGAGGCCTTAACAGTTTTTTTGAGGTAGTTCCACTACTAACCAGTAGGAAGTGTATATTGTATTAGAAATCCAGCTGAGAAAATATTCTAAAATCTAGCCTTTTGTATTTTTTTATATTAAAAAAACAACTGTAAAAGTCTATATATTTTCTATGCATTAAACTCAAATAAGATAGGGCTCGATAAATTTACCTGAAGAATACATAAGGTCCAAGCTTCCTACTGTGGCCTCTGTGAGTGTCTCACTGTGGGATTCAGAACAGCTTGTAGGAGCCAACTGAACCTCCATGTTCGTATTTTAAGAAAGTGGTTTTACAGGATGACTTGTCCCTGTCCTCTGTTGCTTTACTTTTTCCCTCTTGAAAGAATGTGTTGTGATCTGGAATATTTAGAACTGTTCTGATTGTGACATATTAATAAACTGGAGGCCCAGTGCACAAAAATTTGTGCACTCGGGGGTAGGGGGTCCCTCAGCCCAGCCTGTGCCCTCTGGTAGTCTGGGACCCCTCGGGGGATGACCACCTGCTGGCTTAGGCCCGCTCCCCGGGGGATTGGGCCTAAGCTGGCAATCAGACATTCCTCTGGCAGCCCAGGAGCCCTCGGGGGATGTCCACTTGCCAGCAGGGAGCAGGCCTAAGCTGCAGTCGGACATCCTTAGCACTGCTGAGGAGGCAGGAGAGGCTCCCACCACCATCGCTGTACTGGCAGTCGTCATACAGGCTTGGGCTGAGCAGAGTTCCCCCTGTGAGAGCACACTGACCACCAGGGGGCAGCTCTTGCATTGAGCATCTGCCTCCTGGTGGTCAGTGTGTGTCATAGTGACCAGTCATTCCCAGTCGTTCTGCTGTTAGGGTCAGTTTGCATATTACCCTTTTATTTTATATAGGATAGAGGCCTGGTGCATGGGTGGGGGCCGGCTGGTTTGCCCTGAAGGGTGTCCCAGATCAGGGTGAGGGTCCCGCTGGGGTGCCTGGCCAGCCTGGGTGAGGGGCTGATCGGTGTTTGCAGGCTGGTCACACCCCCTTCAGGTTGGGGGTCCCCACTGGGGTGCCCGGCCAGCCTGGGTGAGGGGCTTATGGCTGTTTGCAGGCTGGTCACACCCCCTTCAGGGTGGGGGTCCCCACTGGGATGCCTGGCCTGCCTGGGTGAGGGGGGCTGATGGCTGTTTGCAGCTGGTCACACCCCCTTCAGGGTGAGGTCCCCACTGGGCTGCCTGGCCAGCCTGGGTGAGGGGCTGATGGCTGTTTGCAGGCTGGTCACACCTCCTTCAGGGTGGGGGTCCCCATTGGGGTGCCTGGCCAGCCTCGGTGAGGGGCTGATGGCTGTTTGCAGGCTGGCCAAGCCCCCCGGCGACAGAAGCTCCCAGCCTCTCCTTTTTTTCTTTTTCTTTTTTAATTCTGGGATTTATTTACCTTCTATAATTGAAACTTTGTAGCCTTGAGAGGAGCTCAGAGCTGACCAGGGCGGGCGGGAGGGAAGCTTGGCTTCCTCCATCGCCAGGGGCAACGCAAGCCTCCTGCTCGCTCCAGTTCCGTGGCCATGGCTGGCTTAAAGCAGGTATCTGGGGTTTATTTGCGTTCTATAATTAAAACTTTGTTGCTTTGAGTGGAGCTCAGAGCCGGCCACGGCAGTTGGGAAGCTTGGCTTCCTCTATCATTGGTGCAACCAAGCCTCCTGCTTGCTCCAGCTCCGTGGCTGCTGGCCGCCATCTTGGTTGGGTTAATTTGCATATAGTCGCTCTGATTGGCTGGTGGGTGTGGCTTATGGCATACCGAAGGTACGGTCAATTTGCATGTGTGTCTTTTATTAGTGTAGATAATGAGCAGCACTTTACAATGGATTTCAGGGCTAAAGGCAGGTTCTGAGGTTTAGTTCTAACATCTTAGGTCAGAGGAGCCAGTGAGGTATCACATTATAAAATTGTATTTAAAGCAAAATCAAGAGATATCCTCTTGCTGATTTAGTGTCTGTAGTTAAATTCCAGCATCTTTAATGTAAGTACATTTCATTTTTCATTGTTTTTCTGCCAGGTTTGAGGAATCAGAATGAGCACTGTCTTTTATAGATGTTCAAGATTAGGGTTTTCAAGAAAAAGTCATATTTTAGTATCCCTCTCACTTTTCTCTCCCCTAAGAGATAACTTGATAATATTTGAAAAGTAAGCTATTGCGATAAGTGAAACATTTGGTAAACATGTGCTTAAGTCAGGCATATGTTTTAGGTTCTGAAAATTCAGTTGACTATTTCCCCAGTCTTATTTTCTTTAAATTCAGTTTTTAAAAATTCTCATAGATGGTGATGGTGATAATGATGATTAAAAAGAAACTGGGGTGCAATCTCTTTTAACTATAAAACTCAACATCTGTGTATCTTCTTGAGAGTGTTTATCCTGTAGTTTGTGTTAAATCTGGGAAACAAAAGTAGAAATTTCTAAAGTAAAGTTTAAATATAAATTGGAAGAACGTTTTTACAAAAATTCTATTTTGGTTATTGATGGTCTTACTAAGCATTTAAGACAGTATTAAAAGCTTTGAACATCTTGACTGCTGGTTCGCTAATACACTCTTTTAGAACTCTTCTCACCTATCTCCCCCCTCCACCTCTGAAATTTAATTGTAACCTAATTGTAAACTTGATCAGCTGACCAAGACCACAATATAAGACAGACAGATGATTCTTCAGCCTGATGGCAAGATTTCTGCGATGTTTATCCTCTTTTTGTTAATCATACGAATTCTACTTCTTAATGCAGTGTCCATCTATATATATATATATATATATATATATATATATATATATATATATATAAAAGCCTAATATGCAAAGTGTTCCCATGGGAGTTCGACCGGGAGTTCTATCGCTCGCTATGACATGCACTGACCACCAGGGGGCGGCACAGAACAAAGGAAGGCCCCAGCTGGCAGCCGGGGAAGGGAGTCCCTGGCCAGCACCTGGAAGGTCCTGATGGATCCTGATCGCCAGCCAGGCCTAGGGACCTTACCCATGCATGAATTTCGTGCACCGGGCCTCTAGTAAAACATAATCTTGGCATTAAACAAATGTTCTCCAAGTAATAGAAATGTCTCTGTAGGAAAGCCAAAAGTTTTCTACAGTTTCTCTTAGAGAAATAAAATTCTTTGTCCTAGATTTGATGTCCAGTGTTCACAAGATGAATGCTGAGAAGGTTATAGGCGGTATCTGTTAAAAAGCATTACTTTCTGTTAACTAGAGATGTGCAAGCCAGCCAGCGCTCCATAGCCTTAATTGCAGAGATGATCCACACTGCTAGTCTCGTTCACGACGATGTCATTGATGATGCCAGTTCTCGGAGAGGAAAGCACACAGTTAATAAGATCTGGGGTGAAAAGAAGGTACATTTTTTATTTGTTTTTTAATGTTCTTTGGATTACATTTATTTTTCATTTTTGTCTCATTCAAAAATTACGCTTCTTCAAATGTGGTCTACCAACTTTCAGAATAGTATTCATGTCTTATCTTTTTGTTTGTTTTTTTGTTTATCAGAACCTGGGACCCTTGAGTCCGCAGTCAGACTCTCTATCCACTGAGCCAAACTGGCTAGGGCTGTGAGGTTTTTATTTTAAATTGTAGATTAAAGGTTTTGTATCTCATTGGCCGAATTCCATTCATCAGAACATTGGTAAAGAGAGGGTCAAGTTTTGTTTTGAAAGGGTTGTGGGTATGCCCTAGCTGTTTTGGCTCAGCGGATAGAGCACCGGCCTGCGGACTGAAGGGTCCCAGGTTCCATTCCAGTCAAGGGCATGTACCTGGGTTTTGGGCACATCCCCAGTAGGGGGCGTGCAAGAGGCAGCTGAATCGATGTTTCTCTCTCATCAATGTTTCTAACTCTCTATCCCTCACCCTCTCCCTTCCTCTCTGTAAAAAATCAATAAAATATATTTAAAAAAAAAAAAAAAAAGGGTTGTAGGTAACTCCATGGTGTGTCCCGGTGGTCAGCTGTAAGTGTTCAGGGCCTATTCTTAAAGCCTAATTTGGGCTCTTGGTCAGGGAAAAAGATTAAGAGAACAAATAAAGGTCTTCTCCTTGACCAGTCCCCTCTATAACAGCCTCCATTGTTGGGGGCCTCTTTCTGAGTGTAGGTGAAGGAAGGTGGTTCCCTTGAGCTGTGAGACTGGTCTGCCCTTCACAAAGCCACCTGCCAATCTCCCCTTTTCTGTCCCTCAATACACACTACTATGATAGTGATAAAATAAAATTTAAAAAGTCACACAGTGCCACCTCTATGAGCCTCCATTTCCCTGCCTGAGTTCCCAGACATGCCTTCCTTTAACCCCTCACCCCAGGGAGCCCCATCTAGCAGTTTCAGTTCCATATGCTAGAACTTTTGCTTCCAGGAACCCTAGGGCCAGAGGAAAGAGGTAAAAGCTTAGAGATCTGCTAATGATGTAGCATAGTGAACGGATCTATATGTGCACGTATATATCATAATTATAAAATGGCTTCATACATGTATAGTTATATCAAGATATGTTATATAAAAGGACAATTCATTGATAAACATAGTGGACATCATTAATTTTAGATACTAGAGAAGCAGTAGACAATAAAACCTTAAAATGTGGTTTGTTGAAAATTCTATAAATTAAAATTTCTATGAACTCTAGCATTTATAACTAGATACTCTGTAACATAACACTTAGGCATATCTTTTGGTATGAAAAGTTACTGTATTTGATTATAGCATATAATTCAATTATGTCTAATTTATGGTTAGTTGCATATACTGTATGGACATCTCACAATTAAAGAAAATTGGAAAAATATTGATTATCTAATATTCAGTGAAAAAACTATTTTGTGTCGAAATGAGGGGCAGTGTAATATAGTGCAGAGAGTATTGAACTTGGAGCCCGGGTGCCTTGGTTTAGTTTTCATTGAGAAAAGTGTGTTTTGTATTGTGCCCTGTGCTGGGGTAGGCTAAGTCCTAGCTAGGATAATTATTAGTCTGGACCCTCAAGCAGTTTAGTAAATAGGGAATCACCGATTGAGGAAAAGCGCACCATATGCATTGTGTACTCATTGTGCGAGGGGTGTTCTGCTGCCTCAGAACAGAGACATCTGATCAGGCTGAGTGGGATCTGAGTAGACTTCTGGAGGTGCCATCTGAGCTAATTACACAGATGAGTGCTGGATGAAGAAGGGGAAGGACTTGGGGGCAGAAGAAGCAATAAGTGCAAAGGCACAACAAGGTGGTTTGAGCGAGTGGTCCAGCATAACTAAACTGAAAGCAGCTGCTCTTGGAGGGGCCAGGGGATGAAGCTGGAGGGTAAGATCCTTGCCATGTCCTGGCATCATTTCTTCAGCTCAGAAGTGGAGAGCTAGACTGGGTAAGCTCTGAGAGCCAATCCAGTCCAAACAATGTCCCAAACCTGGAACTGTTTTCACAAAATCTGTTGAGCAAGAGGAAGGGGAAAACTTAATCTAAGATGACCCCTTCCTCTCATTCTGTTTTTATCTTGTGAGAAGTCAGCTGCATTATTGACACCCTTGCTCTGACACTTTTCTCTGAAAGGTTTTTTCTTTTCTAGGCTGTTCTTGCTGGAGATTTAATTCTTTCTGCAGCATCTATAGCTCTGGCACGAATTGGAAATACAACTGTTATATCTATTTTAACCCAAGTTATTGAAGATCTGGTGCGTGGTAGGTTAATTCTGACTTTTATTTTTTTATTTTTTATTCTTTCTTAGTATGTAGCTGGGCAATAAAACCATGTCTCAAATAACCCCTTTCCTTCTTTTTAGGTGAATTTCTTCAGCTAGGGTCAAAAGAGAATGAGAATGAAAGATTTGCACACTACCTTGAAAAGACCTTCAAGAAGACTGCAAGTCTGATAGCCAACAGTTGTAAAGCAGTATGTACGTTCTGTCTTTTTTCAAGTTAAAAAAAAAAAAGCCTCATAGCTCTTTCTTGGGAGCTAATTCTCCTAGAAAAAAATTCACTGGAGAACCTTAAAATAGTACCACAAACCCCAAGAGGTCATTGAGAAAAGAATTAACCCCAAACAGTGGAGAACTTCTGCTGCGGTTTTCATATTTGTCTTCTTTTACTATGCAGACATTCATTTTTTTTTAATTTTATATTTATATATATTTTTTAAATTAAATCTTTATTGTTCAGATTATTACAGTTGTTCCTCTTTTTCCCCCCATAGCTCCCCTCCACCCGGTTCCCACCCCACCCTCTACCCTTACCCACGCCCCACTGTCCTCATCCATAGGTGTACGATTTTTTTCCAGTCTCTTCCCGCACCCACCACACCCCTTTCCGCGCGAGAATTGTCAGTCCACTCCCTTTCTATGCCCCTGATTATATTCACCATTTTATTCCGTTCATCAGATTGTTTATTCACTTGATTTTTAGATTCACTTGTTGATAGATATGTATTTGTTATTCATAATTTTTATCTTTACCTTTTCTTCTTCCTTTTCTTCAAGAATACCTTTCAGCATTTCATATAATACTGGTTTGGTGGTGATGAACTCCTTTAGCTTTTTCGTTTCTGTGAAGCTCTTTATCTGACCTTCAATTCTGAATGATAACTTTACTGGGTAAAGTAATCTTGGTTGTAGGTTCTTGCTATTCGTCACTTTGAATATTTCTTGCCACTCCCTTCTGGCCTGCATAGTTTCTATTGAGAAATCAGCTGACAGTCGTATGGGTACTCCCTTGTAGGTACCTAATTGTTTTTCTCTTGCTGCTTTTAAGATTCTCTCTTTGTCTTTTGCTCTTGGCATTTTAATTATGATGTGTCTTGGTGTGGTCCTCTTTGGATTCCTTTTGTTTGGGGTTCTCTGCACTTCCTGGACTTGTAAGTCTATTTCTTTCACCAGGTAGGGGAAGTTTTCTGTCATTATTTCTTCAAATAGGCTTTCAGTATCTTGCTCTCTCTCTTCTTCTGGCACCCCGATAATTCAGATGTTGTTGGTACGTTTGAAGTTGTCCCAGAGGCTCCTTACACTATCTTCATATTTTTGGATTCTTTTTTCTTTTTGTTTTTTCAGTTGGGTGTTTTTGCTTCTTAGTATTTCAAATCTTTGACTAGATTCTTGCGATTCTCTAGTCTGCTGTTGGATCTCTATATAATATTTTTTTTTTGTGGTTACTTTATTTTATTTTTTTATTTAGATAATTTTTATTTCTTAAAGTATTACAAAGAGTATTACATATGTCTCCTTTTTCCCCCCCTTGACATTCCCCCGGCCTCCCCTACCCCCCCAGTGTCTTGTGTCCATTGGTTATTCTTATATGCATGCACATAAGTCCTTCGGTTGATCTCTTAACCACCCCCCGCCCCACAAACCCTCCCAAGGCTTCCCACTGTAGTTTGACAGTCTGTTCAATGCTGCTCTGCCTCTGCATCTATTTTTGTTCATCAGTTTATATTGGTCTTTATTATCCGTTTCAACCGCACCGGGGCCATCCCGACCTCACCAGGGCCATCCCGACCTTGCCGGGGCTGTTTTGGCCTCACCGGGGCCGTTTCAACCTCACCGGGGTCGTCCCGACCTCACTGGAGCCGTTTCGACCTCACCGGGGCCGTTTCGGCCTCACCGGGGCCGTCTCGACCTGACCGGGGCCGTTTCAACCTCACCGGGGCCGTCCCGATCTCACCGGGGCCGCCTCGACCTCACCGGGGCCATTCCGACCTCACCGGGGCCGTCGCGGCCTCACTGGGGCTGTTTCAACCTCACCGGGGCCGTCCCGACCTTACCGGGGCCTTCACGGCCTCACTGGGGCCGTTTCAAACTCACCGGGGCCGTCCTGACCTCGCCGGGGCTGTCCTGACCTCACCGGGGCCGTTTCTTTTTTTAAAATATATTTTATTGATTTTTTACAGAGAGGAAGGGAGAGGGACAGAGTCAGAAACATCAATGAGAGAGAAACATCGATCAGCTGCCTCCTGCACACCCCCCACTGAGGATGTGCCCGCAACCACAGTACATGCCCTTGACCTGAATCGAACCTGGGACCTTTCAGTTCGCAGGCAGACGCTCCATCCACTGAGCCAAACCAGTTAGGGCTCTGTATAATATTCTTTATTTCAGTCAGTGTATGCTTAATTTCTAGTTGGTCCTTTTTCATATCCTCGAGGGTCTCACTAGATTTCTTGAGGAATATGACTAAATTTATCGGCGGTTTCTAGAAAATTCTTGAAAACCCTTATAACCATGTTTTTGAACTCTATATCCAGTAGTTTGCTTTCCTCCATTTCTGTCATTTGTGACCTGTTTCTTTGTCTCCGCATTTTGGCTGCTTCCCTGTGTTGATAAGAGTGGCTTTGTGTGCTAGGTGTCCTATAGGGCCCAGTGGCTCAGCCTCCCCAATTACGTGAGGTGGACACTCTTGGTGCACCCCTTTGTGGGCTTTGTGCACAGTCTTGTTGTAGTTAAACCTTGATTGTTGTAGGTATCACTGGGAGGAATTGACCTCCAGGCCAATTGGCTGTGAGAATCAGCTGTGTCTACAGTGAGAGAACTTCTGTGCTGGAGACACCTTTATGGGGCAAGACTTGCTTCAGTGGGGCTTTGGTGCTCACTGAGTCTGCCCCCTGAGTGTGTCCCTTATGGATATGAGGAGTTGTAATCTGGATGGTCCCACTCTGACCACTGGGTACACTGGCTCTTGGATCTCTAAGGAGGTGCTAATTTAGCCTCTGCCTGAGGCTACCCAGCAGGAGCTACAGAGAGATCTGCAGATTCCTCTTCTTTGTTTGGGGTTTGGAGGTGCCCAGATGAGGCCCTGCTGTGAAGCAATGCAAGCTGCTTTGGGGCCTTGGGCCTTCTTTTGGATGTTCTGGGTCTCTCTGACCCAGCTTCAGTTTGTTAGGTAATTTCAGATTGCAAAGGGCCAGGCCATTCATATGCAAAAGACTCTGTGCACAGCTTGGGTGGGGCGGGGTCTCAAGGAATCAACAGGGCGGAGAAAACAGCTATGGCTGATCCTCAGTTTTGCCCTAAGAGGCCCCGGGTCTCAGTGTCCCACAGTAATCGCTGCAAGCACCTCTGAGAGAAAGCCGTCCTCGAGTTCCGCCCAATGCCAGACAGTCCAGTTTCTCTCCGTATGAGTCTGGGTCCCCAGAGACTCATCCGGAACTGGAGTTCAGAGCCATCGGGAGCTTGTGACTCCCTCCCGATTGAAAAAGACAGCCACATCCTCAGTTGCCAGTCCTTTCCACGTGCGCCTCCGTACCTTTGCACTTTACTTCTGCACCTCTTCTGAGTCTCAGTGTGCTTTTCTATTTCCTTCTAGTTGTAGAATTTCCACTCAGCCGGGCTTACTGTGGTTCTGGATGATGTCCGTTTTGTCTTTTAGTTGTATTTTTGAAGTGGTTGTGCGAGGCAGCAATTTCCGGTGTTTACCTATGCCGCCATCTTGGTTTCTCTCCAGGCATTCACTTTTTATCTCCCCCCGCCCCCCCCGCCCCCCAAGTGTTCAATCCAAATAAGCTTTAGTCACTAAATCTAATTTCCAAACTATGTTATCTTTTGGACAGCTTATGAGTAATTCTTTTCATGATTGCTGTCCCATAGTGTACCTTTAAAAAGTTATGAAGTGCTGTGTTACCCAGGAAAAAAAGTCTAACTATAGGACTAGATTGTTTTAGTGTTTTGTGTTTTTTTATGAGTAGTAGATTCTCCTATTATATTTATGTGAAATATAAACAAGCCATTTTTCTTCAGAATATAAATTGTGAGCCATAACATTTTCTTTACTTAGCATTCTCCCTGGCCTTCCCTCCGCTGTCCACATACTTTTCTTTTTAAAAGCTCAGTTAGCATTGTCCTTAATCTGTAGACTAAAAACGTGTGGTGTCCAGTGCTAGCCCATAAAAAATGAGAGTTCTCTCCATAGAATTATCCCTGTTATATGTCCCAGCCTAACAGATGTAATAGAGATGAATCCTGGGCAAGTAATAGTCCCTTGTAATTAAAGCAACAAGAAAGAAAACCAGTAAGCGGCAAATGTCAATTGCTGTCATGATAGACTCTTAACATAATTACAGTTACAGAGCTTTTCCTCGAGCTTCTTGGGTAAAAAAGTCCCCTGCCAGCAGTGTCTCTATTTTGAAAAGTGTCAAGAAATGGATAATTGTGAGCCAGAAAAGAACAAGGACAACATTTTCTTCCTAAAAAAGACCTAATTGAAACCCAAAGGAATGTAAATTATGTAGGACATGCTGGCCATGATTTCAGCCACTTTTGTCTTTATTAAAGGGGCTATTTTTATTCCCAAGAAATTGAGTTTTTTAAAAAAGAGAGACAGATGTGCCCTGGCCTGTTTGCTCAGTGGTTAGAGCATTGGCCCATGGACCAAAGGGTCTTGGATTCGATTCCTGGTCCAGGGCATATACCTCGTTGCAGGCTTGATCCCGGGCCCTGGTCAGGATGCGTGTGGGAGGCAATCATTGGATGTGTCTCTCGTGCATCAATGTTTCTCTCCTCTCTCTCTCCCCACCCCCTCTTTCCTCCTCTCCACTCTAAAAAAAATCAATGGGAAAAATATCCTCTCTAAGGATTAAAAGAGAGATTGATGAAAAAATGACAGACACAAATGCCAACTAAAAGAATGACCTATTTAAAAGGGTGCCATAAAGCTGTTCCATTAATTGATCATACCCTTTTTTTTTTATATATATTTTATTGATTTTTTACAGAGAGGAAGGGAGAGAGACAGAGAGCTAGAAACATCGATGAGAGAGAAACATCAATCAGCTGCTTCCTGCACATCTCCCACTGGGGATGTGCCCGCAACCCAGGTACATGCCCTTGACCGGAATCGAACCCGGGACCCCTCAGTCCGCAGGCTGACGCTCTATCCACTGAGCCAAACCGGCTTCGGCAATTGATCATACTCTTGATCACCAAAGTTTCTGTGAAGATCAAGATCCATCCTTACAAGGCTCCTGGTGTGTTCAGTGAAGCTTGCTGATGGTTTCAGCAACTTGAGCCTGAAGTTAGAAGCACTAGCAGGTAGAGGGACTGTTGGAACTAGAAACACTGAGAATCATTGTCCATACAAAGCGGACATCCCACAGGCACGTGGCAGCAGCACCACGTGGAGCCAGCCCAGGAACGAATGCCCTCAGTGATTGAATCCTATGAAGCAGCCAAGGAGACGGGCCCGACTCATCCCAGAAAGGCTTAATTGTGGTCACAGACCTCTGCTTAGGAAGCCAAGACATTATAGCACATGTATTGGTTTATAAAGAGCACCTTGTTCTTCAGATTAGCAAGTGAACAGTGGATGCGAATGTTAACATGGCTCACCCTATTAAATATGAAATGTGTTATTCTGTCCACTAGGAGGCATGCTGGCATCATCCCAGAACTACCCACTTCCATGGGATGTATTCCTAAATTCCAGCCTATTAGAATAACAAAGCAAAATCAGTGTGGGCTCCCTGGATAAAAGTTTCTATATGTAAGTGCACATGGGTAGATATATTCCAAAGGTGTTGTTTTCAAAATCGCTATTTTTATATGTGGACTCCAGAAGAATGCATGCAAAGCAAATTACAGATGCCAAAAAGAGGGGATAAAGAGAATTTAAACATCAGGATTATTGAGAACTAATGGAATTCCATGATGTTATAGAACTTGAAGGAAATTTAGCAGCTTATAATTCATTCTACTAAGGACACCATTACTTCACCCTGTTTTTAACCACTCACAGTATTTTAGTGGAAATAGTAATAAAATCTAAGAGAGGGCTATCTAGGATTGTTTTGTGGCACTGGTTGATATGAAAGTAGAAGTAATCTTAAATGATTGGCTATTTATTTATATACATAGTCATGCCGAGTACATCCTGTAGCTTTCCAGTGAAGGTATGACTTGTTCTCGAGAAAATCTGATGGGAATGAGACCTGAGAGGTCTGGTTGCCATCCAGTGTTATTCAGTCCGACTGACAGTGGCTGAGCTGGGATTTGAACCACGAACAGGATGTGGTATTCCTACATTCAGTTTTCTGAATTTATGTGGGTACTTGTGGCTGGAATCAATAAGCTGTCTTTCTATTATTTAGTTTTCAATGATACAGAGTGCCACCACAGAACTTTATGTGGGTCTATTTATAGAATACTGTTTTTTGGTTATGTTATTATTATCTAATCTACAGATAGACCTTATTCAGATTTTGCCAATTGTCCTAATACTGTTATAACAAATGGAAACCATTTTTTTCTGGTCCAAGATCCAATCCACGCTCTCATGTTGCATTTAATTGTCGTGCATCTGTAGTCTCTTTTGTTCTGGAACAGCTCTTATCTTACTACTAGTGAGGTTCACTTGATCACCTGATTAGAGTGGTGCCTGCCAGGTTTCTTCACTTTCAAGTTAAAACTCCCAGGCTCTGGTTTTAGCATCTATTTATAATCCTTTCCTGAGACAGTTATTACTATGCTGGTTGCCAAATGAATAATTCCATTATTCCTCTACATCACATTTTTACATTGAGTTGGTATTTTATTCTAAGGAAGTTTGTTTTAATCGTTCATGAGAACATTTTTTCCATGGATTTTTCTTTTTTTTTAGAGAGAGAGAGTGGAGAGTAGGGAAGAGGGAGAGAACTACCCACTTTCATGGGATTTATTCCTAAATTCCAGCACTATTAGAATAATAAAATCAGTGTGGGCTCTCTGAATAAAAGTTTCTATATGTAGAAATAGATGGATAGAAATATGCTGAGAGAGAGAGAGAGAGAAAAAAAAAACATCAATGTGAGACACATTGATGGGTTGCCTCCCACATGCATCCTGACTGAAGGGCTGGGGATCGAGCCTGAACCCAGGTATGTGCTCTTGACGAATCAAACCTATGGACCCATGTTCTAATTACTGAGCCAAACCGGCCAGGGCTATGTTAAGGAAGATTTTTGTCTATGGACTCTTGGTTTCTTATTTTATTATTTGGATTATAATCCTTTATTCTTTTTATTTTAATGCCCAATTGCCCCAAATTTAACCAGTGGGGAAGGCCCTTTAACCTCGCTCCTGTGTCGATGAACATATCCCTAGTATTTGTAATTGTGAACTATTGGAAACCTAAATGCCTGAGTGGCTGAGGAAACCATGGTATGTCCACACAATGGGATGATTCTTTCAGCACTTCCTTTGTTTCTGGGAGCTCTGTCTGGCTTTCTTGTGGGGGATCAATGTAGATGCTCCCTCTCTGGTAAAGTAGATGCCTCTCCCCTTCCCCCATTTTGGTTTTTACTATATTTGTTCCCTAAAACTGGGCCTCGGCCTGCTCAGCATGCTCTACACTCAGTGGCCGATGCCAGCTAGTTTTTTTGGAGTTTTAAGAAAGATTTAGCTAAAAGTCTTACTTCTCCCCACTGGAAAGGGAAACAAACAAATACGGAGGAGACCGCAGGACCAGAGAAGATCCTTTGATAATGAAAGAACAATAGCTATGTCTGAAGCATGAGGCTTTAGGCAATTACACACACATTTCAGAAATAAGTGGAATCACTAAAAACTTATTGTAAAAAATTTCTTAGAATTTAAGGAAGTTATCAGAGACTAAAATCCTTTCATTAAGAACACAGGTATAGCCCTAGCTGGTTTGGCTCAGTGGATAGAGCATCGGCCTGCGGACTCAAGGGTCCCAGGTTCGATTCCAGTCAAGGGCATGTACCTTGGTTGCGGGCACATCCCCAGTAGGGAGTGTGCAGGAAGCAGCTGATCGATGTTTCTCTCATTGATGTTTCTAACTCTCTATCCCTCTCCCTTCCTCTCTGAAAAAAAAAAAAAAAAAAAAAAAAAAGAACACAGGTATAGTTGACCCTTAAATAACACAGGTTTAGACTGTGCAAGTTCACTTACATGCAGATTTTGTCCAGTAAATACTCTAATTCAGTGGTTCTCAACCTTCCTAAAGCCGAGACCCTTTAATACAGTTCCTCATGTTGTGGTGACCCCCAACCATAAAATTATTTTCGTTGCTACTTCGTAACTGTAATGTTGCTACTGTTATGAATCGTAATGTAAATATCTGATATGCAGGATGTATTTTCATTGTTACAAATTGAACATAATTAAAGCATAGTGATTAATCACAAAAATAATATGTAATTATATATGTGTTTTCCTATGGTCTTAGGCGACCCCTGTGAAAGGGTCGTTCGACCCCCAAAGGGGTTGCGACCCACAGGCTGAGAACCGCTGCTCTAACTGTATTTTCCTTATGATTTTCTTCACACTTTTCTCTAACTTTATTGTAAGAATACAATACATACAATATTCATAACATGCAAAATATGTATTAATTGACTGTTACTTCTAAGGCTTCAGTCAACAGTAGACTATTAGTAGGTAAGTTTTGGGGGAGTTAAAACCTGGCCGGTGTGTTCAGTGGTTAGAGAGTCGAGCCATGCAACAAAAAGGTCACAGGTATGATTCCTGGTTAAGGGCATGTACCTGGGTTGCAGGTTCAATGCCCAGCCCAGTTGGGTTGCGTGCAGGAGGCAACCAATCGATGTTTCTCTCTCTTTTCCCTTCTCCCTTTGCTCCCTCCCTTCCACTCTTTAAAAATCAATAGAAAAAATATCCTCGGGTGAGTATTAATTGAACAACAACAAAAACACAAAAGTTATATGTGGATTTTTTACTGCCTGGGGGTCAGCGCCCATAACTCCACATTGTTCAAGGGTCAGCTGTACTTGCACGTGTTTGGTCTCCTGATAGCAATATTTCCCTGTTGTACACCATCGAGCCTCACTGCCTCTTACTTAAGGGAACAGATGTCTGACTCCTGCCATGCGTGTTTGGCTGCCTCGCTCCTGCCTGCCAGCCACTTATCTCGGAATTCTTATTCTGTTCCAGGTCTCTGTCCTAGGATGCCCTGACCCAGTGGTGCATGAGATTGCCTATCAATATGGAAAAAATGTGGGAATAGCCTTTCAGGTTGGTCCGCTTTGTAAGACTGGCCTATTAGTACAGTGGGAAGCATGGCCGTGATGTTGGGATGGTGGTGCTTATGACATTCCTTTTGTCCTTTCACTAGCTAATAGATGATGTACTGGACTTCACCTCATGTTCTGAGCAGATGGGCAAGCCAACATCAGCTGATCTGAAGCTCGGGTTAGCCACTGGCCCTGTCTTATTTGCTTGTCAGCAGGTAGGTTTTATACAAGTCCCTTGGACACACTGCTGTGCAGCCCTACAGAACCAGTATCCTCCAGGCACAGCTAATGGGAAGTTTAGATCATGAATATATAGGAAAGCATTTAGGTCAGAGACCTCTATCTGGATTTGATCCTGGCTCTGGGACTGAGATGTTGGGGTCAGTCATTGCACATCTAAGCTTTATCTGTTTCCTTTTCTGTAAAACTGAGATTACAACCTTCATGCTAGAATTGTGAGGATTAACAGATAATATTCATGGAGATACTTTGTAAATTAAGTGCTGTATGCATTTAAGATAGCATTATGATTATTTCCATGTATTTGGAGCACTGACAAGGTGGTTTCCACATCTTGATTATAGGGCTGGACTTTGGGTGTGCCTCAGAACCCCTTACAAAGGCACAGGAAGGGCCTCCAAGCTTAAGAAATTCTGAGAAATTCTCCAGTTCCAGAAGTTTAATGGGACTGTTTGCTGCTCTCAGAGAGCCTCGGGCACTGCCTCAAAATGTCAAGAAGTCAGTGGAATGCACTGCTAGAACCACATAGTTCCTTCTTCCTCCAGATTGAGGGGCTGTCAATTAAGGAAGTAAGTAAAGCTGCCTTCATATTCTTAATATAGATGAAGAGCTTAGGAGGCTTTAAAGATACCGCAGTGACTTGTAGGGCAGACAGTCCCAGAGCCTGCTCTGGATGTTTTGGCTGTGCCAAATGTCATTTGGAAGAAGTGGGACATTGGCTTGTATTTGGACATCCTTTTAATAGATTTCATCTTAGTAGTATTTAATACATTATTTTGCAAAGCACTAAGATGTTCACCACTATGCCATGAAATTAAAAATTAGCTCTTTGGTCTGAAATTTTAGTAACTTTTAGTCTTTTAGAGATTTTGCCTCTATACTTCCCAAAATTTACAAAGATAAATCATGCCTTCCATAGAACTCAGTGGTTCTATTTGAATATTATAGAAACCAGAGACTTTGCTTTTGATCTGCTTCTGACCAAAAAAAGGAAAAATTATCTTTTCCCCACAATCTAGTAGAGCCAAAACAGGACACTTCTTAGAAGAGGTTGATGGCTTGGGGGGCTGGGCCAGGTTACCTTGGGTAACACACTAGTGGACAACAGGCAGTTGAGGAATGAGGGCTGTGCAATGTGGGAGCACTTTGTGGAAGCATCTGTCCTCAGTACTGGGCTCCATCCTCTCAGAATTTTGAGGCAGAGATGAGAAGTGAAAGGTGTGCTATAAAAGGGTCTTTTCTCCTATTGAGACTAACTCACCAGCCCAAAACTCAAGAATGTTAATACGCCCTAACCAGTTTGGCTCAGTGGATAGAGCGTCAGCCTGCGGACTCAAGGGTCCCAGGTTCAATTCCGGTCAAGGGCATGTACCTTGGTTGCGGGCACATCCCCAGTAGGAGGTGTGCAGGAGGCAGCTGGTCGATGTTTCTCTCTCATCGATGTTTCTAACTCTCTATCCCTCTCCCTTCCTCTCTGTAAAAATCAATAAAATATATTTTTAAAAAAGAATGTTAATACATTGCCAAGTTCTGACAAAAATTTACAAAATCCCCTTATATACCTTAAAGCATGAGTGAGGAACGTTTTCTTTACCATTAAGCCACAAAAACAGAGGATTCATGAGCCATGTGAAGGTATTCCTGACATTAGAAAGATTGGTCACTGGTTACCATCTACACAATTTAAAAAAATCAATCTACTCTTTAGAACCTGGGAGTAAATGTGAATAAAGAATAAGATGGACTGATTGCACCAAGATTCAACCTACTTGGTTAGTATCCCTTTAGCTATGCTCTGAGGTTATCTAGAAGACTAAGGGACAGGCCTCTTCCTGAAGCACCTCACAGTCTACTAAAAAGCAGTCTTAATTGTAAATAATAGTCATGAGCTCCATAGTATGAATAGTTGAGTCCTACTTAAACCATAAGGTGATTGAGAGTGGATGCCTTTTCTGATTCTGTTTTATTATGGGCATATTTCAAAAGGGACTAATCTGCTTTCTTCTACATAGTAGTGATGACTAATTCTGCCTTCAGATATAGTGGGGCAAAGTCAGGAGGAAAATGAACCACTCCTACATAACTGACTTGTCAGTAATCTAAAAGAGATCAATAATGCGAGTTTAAAAAAAAAAAACAAAAAACTAGGAAAAAGAACAAATCTTAGAGTGCCCCAAACCACATTTTTCTATGTGCTTCACTGGGAAATCCAGTATAACAAGGCGCACACTCACCCTCACCAGACAGCACTTTTCCCATCTGCCCATCAGGCAGTGGGAGGAGTTAAAAGGCACATTGAAGTATCAGAAAACTGAACACAGACTGAGGCTCAGCAGGAAGTAACTCTGGACAGGACCACTTTCCTGTTGAGCTGCCCCCTGGTGGTCAGTGCGCTCCCACGGCCAGCCAACCTCCTGTGGTCCCTCCCCACCGTCTGGCAGGCCCCAGCTGGCCTGGCCCTGATCAGGACTGGGCGAGAAGGCTCCAGTAGGCCTTGATTGCCAGCCAGGCCTAGGGACCCCACCTGTGCACAAATTTCATGCACCAGGCCTCTAGTCTACCCTAAAATATAAAAACCTAGGGTCCATACGACCAACCGAAGGCTGGGTCGAACACCAGAAGTCAGTCCTGAGGTCAGTGCTGGGTTGCCGTGGCGACCCAGCTTTTGTTATTTAGGGGGCTGCACAGCAGGCCCGAAGAAAGGATTGTATTTACCCTCTCCCTTCTTGAAAGCTTGTGGTTCAGCCATTGCTTCTCTTTCCTCCCCGGGCTTTGCCCAGCAGCCGCGCCTGTTTCTCTCCGGGGCCTCCATGGGGGGCTGCTGAACAGCCTTGCCTCTCTGATCCAGGCCCCGTTGATAGGGCCCAGAGATGCTGACTGGCATAGAAACCCGACCAATCAGAACTGAATCTGGGTGAACTGTGAGGAACCAATGGCTGCCTAAGAGGTGGAGCTTTTGATGCTAACTGGCATAGAAATCGACCAATCAAAACCAAATTGGCCGGCAGGGGAGGGCAGTTGGGGACAATCAGGCAGGCAGGCAGAGGCAGTTACGGGCGATCAGGCAGGCAGGCAGGCAGGTGAGCGGTTAGGAGCCAGCGGTCCCAGCTTGCGAGAGAGATGTCCAACTGCCGGTTTAGGCCCGATCCCTATAGTCGGACATCCCCCAAGAGTTCCCCAATTGGAGAGGGTGCAGGTTGGGCCGAGGGGAACCCCCCCCCCTTATGCATGAATTTCATGCACTGGACCACTAGTATATATAAAAGCCTAAGTGGCCGAATGACCATTTGACTGTTCACTATGATGTGCACTGACCACCAGGAGGCAGACACTCAACACGAGAGCTGCCCCCTGGTGGTCAATGCGCTCCCCCAGTGGGAGCGCCGCTCAACTGACAGGGATGGGTGGGAGCAGCTCCTCCCCAGATCCCTATAGGCCATGCTGAGGGAATCCACCAGTGCACAAATCTGTGCACTGGGCCTCTTGGGCATTCATAAATTGTTTTCAAATCAAGTGTATGCTCTACTAAAGATTACTCTGTCAAAGAAAAGGATTTTTGGCCAGAACTTTGGGGTAAAACAAGTCCCAAAAATAACAGAATGTGCAGTATCTCCATTTAATGAAAATACATTGTTTTCATAGTTTGCAAAGGATTCTTTAGACATTATCTCTAATCTAACAAATCCTCTTTTGTGGTATTATATTCATCCTACAAATAAGTGATGCTCAAACTTGGCCAAAATTAAACATTAAGTAAAGAGCACAGCAGGCAGTTAAACGCTCCAAGTCTTCTAAGACCACTGTTCATGTTATTACACAGTATAGCATTGCTGTAAAAGCTAGTGCCTGGTGAGCTGGTCTCCAGTAGGTCTCCCCACAGAATAGGCATGGCTCTGAAAATGCACTGACAACACTCAGATAGAGCCTGTGTGTCAGCTTTCATGGTTTGTGATTAACCTACCCATTTAGTGAAGTTAGTTGTAAGCTGTTTGTACTCTTTGTCCATAGGCAGGTGAGCTTTGTTTGTATATTAGAAAAATCCATGTTTGAACTTTTCCATTTGTGACACTGAGTCTCACTGGACCAAGACAATGAACCTTGGGAAGTGGCTTTTCCTTTTTAACTTAGCAGGGGGAACTTGGCATTTGTTGGATCCAGCAACTTGATAGAAACTCTCTCTCTGGAATTCATTATTTTTGACGTCTCTCTGAAGGGATTTTTTTTAATCTTTATTTTTGAAAGCATTACATATGTCCCCCTTTTCCCTCCATTGTCATCTTCTAGCTCACTCCCACTCCCCAGCCCAACCTTCACCACCCTATTATCTGTGTCCATGGGTTATGCATATATTCATGCAAGTTCTTTGGTTGATCTCTTCCCACGCAACCTTCCCTGCCTTCCCTCTAAGATTCCACAGTCTCTGAAGGGGTTTCTTGATAACAGTTGATTCAAGGGATTTAAGAAGAGGTTGGAGATTTCTAGAGAGGTCCCAGTGATGACAGTGTCCTTCCATGAGTATGTATGTACATACTTTCTGTAAGAACAAAAACCTCAGGTTAAATCTTTTGTGTGTGTGTTTTGTTTCGTTTTTTATTCTCACGCAAGGATATTTTTCCATTGATTTTTAGAGAGAGTGGAAGATAGAGGGAAAAGGCAGAGAGAAATATCAATGTGAGAGGAACACATCAATTGGTTGCCTCCTGCACACACCCCGACTAGGGCTTAGGCTGAGGAGGAGCCTGAAACCGAGGTACATGCCCTTGACCAGAATCAAATCCATCCACAGGCCAATGCTCTGTCCACTGAGCCAAACTGGGTAGGGCCTTGTGTTAAATCTTTAAAGAAGATATAGGTCTCAGATTCTGAAATCTTCAGAAACAAAATGGAAGTGGGGTGTGTGTGTGTGTGACTACATTAGTGAGTTCTCAAATATCCTTTAAGAGACCTTTTCCTTTCTTCCTCTGCTTCTTATTTACAAAGTCTCCAAACCTAAATGTCAAACCGTAGCTGTACTTCCAGTTGCCATCACCATCACCAGCCCCTGCACCAGCTGCACAAGCTTCTGCTATTGTGACTAGTTGGTGCCTTAAAGAGTGACCTAAGTTTTGTTTAAGTGCACTCCAGTTAATTGATCCTTTGTAGTTTAGTTTATGGTACAGCTTAGATTTCAGAGTTAGAATGTGGTTTTCCTACTCTTAAAAACAGAGACCGAGCCAACAAAACTTTTATTTCTCAGTAAATCTGCAGGCAGGCAACTGTTCTTCCCGTTATGTTTCTCATTTCTTCTCCAATACACATGAAGGGCACAGAGGAGTGTCTCGGGAAGAGTTTGATATTTGCAAAGTAAAACTGCACACAGTACATGTTTCAAAGGAAGGACATACATTTAATGCAAATATTTTTTTCAAATTTTGCTTTATCAGTGCTTTTTATAGTAAAAGGAATTAAAAAGGCATGTAGTCAGCCCATTTTACCACACTTGTTGGTATTGCAGAAAAAACTCATAACCATAAACAATGTGATTTTACCAGATGCCCAGGACAGTACTGTATCAGCTTTGAGAATATAAGCTTCTAGAAAGCCAATTTTGGAATGTGGTATTAATTTTTAAAATGCTTTTATACCATGGAATACTATGCAGCAAACAAGAGGGATCTCTTACCCTTTGAGACAGCATGGAGGGACCTGGAGAATATTTTGCTAAGTGAAATAAACCAGTCAGAGAAAGACAAGTATCACATTATATCACTCATATGTGGAATCTAAAGAACAAAATAAGCTGATGAACAAAATAGATCCAGGGGCATAGAAGCATGGAACAAACTGGAATCTCAGATGGAAGGCAGGGGAGGGTGAGTACGAAGAGATTAACCAATGAATTTATATGAATACATGCATAACCGATGAACACAAAATAATTTTTTTAAATGCCTTTTAGCCTGGCTGGTATGGCTCAGTGGTTGAGTGTGTTGACCCATGCCCCAAGAAGTCACTGGTTCAATCCCCAGCAGGGGGCAGCCAATCGATGCATCTGTATCGATGTTCTCTCTCCCTCTCCCTTCCTCTCTGAAATCAGTAAAAATGTTTTTTAAAATGCCTTTTAACAACTGCTAAATTCTGTGGTTAAAATTTTAACCACTAAAATAGACTGATTTGAGCTTTCCTGATTTGTTTCATGTGAAGCTTAAATTATTTTATTCTTAAAAGACCAGTAACTAAAGCAGATTACTGGTTTTCATTTAAGAACTAACCAGTTGCTGGCTCTTTAAATATTATGAGTAAGTTAGCAGCCTATACCTGTTTGGAACCTC